TACCTGGTGCCGCAAACATGTGTCCTGACACTATCGATGGTTGCGATATTTTGGTGGGATTGGGCATTTGTACTGACAATCGATACAAGAATTTGTGCCAGAGGTCGTGCTTCTCACGAGATTGTCTTACAAATCAAACAAGTGAGTTGCTGATTGCTATTGAAGATTAATAGAATACATATAAACCTATAAAAATCATATAAAAACGGTTAATAAGCAGTTCTATTTATAGCTGTATCGCGGGGAAACTGTCGCGACGACCATATTGACTGTCCAAAGTACCGCAATCTTTGCAGTGTTGGCGATTATGCAGTTGTTATGCGCGTTAAATGCCGGTTGACTTGTGGTTTGTGCTGATAAACCGGAAGAAATACTTTTTTCATGTCGTTTGAATGAATGTTTTCTGTTGAAAATTGAAGGACATATAGGAATTCTCGAAATGCAAATTTTTCTAGCCGATTTATACAAATAAATGAATGAATCCAATTCAGCAAATCTTTTTTACATTTGTAAATAACACATTATTTCCATTCCATATCACTGTATTATATTTCGAAATGAAATGAGACGTAAGTGCCGAGAAAAAGAGCAAACAAATTGTATAATTCGCGTAAATAATAAAGATACAAATTACAGTTGGTTATCAAGAAATGGCCATGGAAGTGAAATGAATACGGCTATAAAAGTAGTTTATAAGAAGTGAAAAAAGATAAACTAATAATAAGATAATAAGATAAAATAAAATATGATAAGATAAGATAAGATAATAAGATAAAGATATTTTGCATGCTCTTTATCATTTGAAACTTGGAGAGATCGTTTATCGGATAACTGTTAATTGCATATCACTCGATATAAACTGAATAGATGTCAAAAAATGTTCAAAAACCATGTTTGAGCAGCTGAGATTTCAATAGGAGAAATGATAATACGAATATATTTTGTTTATCACTTTTTTTGAATCATTGTTTTACGAAAAACAAATGAAATTTGAAATATAAAAAGCAAAAATTTTGGAACGGAAATTATTTGACGTGTTACTATGTTCGCTTATTTACTTATCCTTGTGACAGGCAAATTACCCTTTCATTATTTTTTAAGAGTGATTTTTTATCAATTTTCGTATGAATTAATTATAGAAATTTTAGGTATTTTATTATAATGTTTAGCTTCAGTGACGAAATATATGGAATTTATGCTAATATCACAGATATATTATTTTTTAGAATATTGAATAATGGTAATTTCAGTTGTTTTTGATTATCTGAAATCCTTTTTTATGATAATGAAAATTTTATTTTTGTCTCATTAACCTTCGATAATAATTATCCACTTGTTTGATTTGTAAGGCAGTCTCGTGAGAAGCAGGTTCTCTGGCATAGTCTTTTGACGTTGCTGTCTCTACAAAATGTTGCCAGCCTTTCGCATCCACTGATGGTGCCTGGACACGCTCCTCCCGCTTCAGGTCTATTGCAAAGTCCACAGGTTTGTGGGCAAATTTTTAGCACTATTTGATGTAAGCGGGGATCTCGACATATGGTTTGCGTTAAACCTTTGCAATGTCCAACGAAACAAAAGATTTATGGCATTTTAATCATAATAATTATCCCAACCGTATTATTTTACGGTTTCTGTTAAAAGAAAAGAAAAAAATTCAATTTTTTTTTAAACCAACGATTGTTATAGTTATTCTTTTGTTTTGCAACACATTGCACATCTCCGCGGACAAAACTCTTCGGCAAATTTCACCAGTGGAACCTTAACAAGTTGCACTTACTTTATATTCTTTTGCACTAAAAAGAAACCATTAGCTTTGAAGCTCATTTGAAGATTGAAATTTTTAATTTAAACTTTTTTTTATTGTATTTTAAATGAAATCGAATGAAAACTCCAAAAAAACGAAAATTTTGTATGTTTTGTCTTTCAGTAAATAAAGAGCTAAAAAAATATTTGCGGATCCGCTTGATCTTGAAGTGTTTAAGCGCCTCCTTGATGCAGTGGAAATATAGAGAGGCATGCTGATTCTAAATCGACGCATGAGATCATAATTGGAGATTGTACCTGTGCCTGTGCATTCGAAGGTAGGACGGCTTTACTGCAAATGGTAATCAACTTATATCAACTTCAGCATTAACGACAAAGAAGAAAAAAATCGCATAAACGAAATATATTATTGTCAACATCGAATTCAATGAAATGAAACGTTTAAATTATCTTTTTATAACAAATTTTTGCTGGGAAAACAACAAATATCCCTCATCGGAGTTCCAGAAATTAATCAAACAATCGTATTCAAAACAGCTTTTCTATAAACAAAACCTTTTGCCCAACAGAAATAAATAAAAAATATTTAAAATTATTTAAATTATAATTATTTTATTTTTCTTTTATTTTTCAGTTAATTCATTTGATTTTCAAGTTCACAAATATTTGATTTTTAGGGAAAAAAATTTAAAGTTTTGAATATTTTGTAGTTTTAAATTTGTATTTTCGAAATAAAAATTAAAATTTTAAAATTTTCAGAATTTAGCAAATATAATTTTTTTTTTAGGTTTATTCGTAGAATAGCGATACATATTTTGTGAATGTGGAGGATTTTCCAGGAAGAAATTCTATTTTCTAGTTCCATTAATATCATTTGAAAAATTCTTGT